GAAAATATCATACCGAGACATACCAGACAAGTGATGGTATGTACCTGTGCGCTCCCGTAAGTACTTCACGATGCCCTGAGCATTAGCTCAGCCTTGCGAAGTACTTCGACATCATTCGTCATCCGCGAGTCCTTGACAATCCCTGTTCTCTGCGTAGTTCTCCCAAATGCGCTTGTTCAAGTTGTGGTTGTGATTCCCCGACGTGGTTACCCTCACGTACCACGTACCACTAATGCTGGAAGTCACCCGCGCGTTCACTCTCGCCGTGCACTTCGTATCACGAACCGAATTGTGTTTTCTGGATCCTTTGCCGCGGGGCTCATACGGCTGACCATGGGTGCACACGAGCGTCTCCGAGTAAGTTTCCCACTGCTTGGGAGCCAAACGAACATCTTTCCGCTTCCTCTTTCCGGCCGCCATGGTCTTCTTCGCAGCCCGAAGTATCTGCTTGCTCCGTACCTTGACAGACGTGCTTGTCCGCTTGGAAAATTGCTGGAAAGACTGGACTTGGTGGGCGTCAAAAGCAGCGTGGAACTCCTCCCAGGTATTAAACATCTTGGTACCTGGTTGGAAGAATGAATCACCAGCGTCTTGTTTCTTGTTAGTAAACGTTTGGTGTACATTCGGTGATAAATTCGGTTTGTCTTCGGTATCACTTGAATCATCACTTGAATCATCATTTGCGTCCAAAACGTCTCCACCATCGCCTTCACTTTCGACTTGGGTGGTACCACTGGCGGCACCATCGCCGCGATCTCCATCATTCTCGGCCAATAATCCTTCAGATCCCCCTTCCGCTGCATCACTTTCGCCACTCTCCCCTTTTGGTCTTGTCGTCTTCGTAATCGGAGTCACTGCAAGACACAGACGGTTCGCTATCGACTTGATCAATAGCCTCCAGCGCCTCGTGAAGCGCAGCGTTGTAGTTCCTTGAGTTAGACTTCTTGCGGGACCTTGGCCCTGTCGTCGCTTGCTTTCGGGGGATCTTCAGCTAGCAGCGTAGCAGCGGTACTGCGCGTCACCATCGTCTTCCCCTCGGCCACGAGACGTGCCGCTTGCTTTTGAAGCTTTATTCGCATGAGTGTTTCTGTAACGGGGTACGTAGCACTAAGTGTACCCTGGTTACATGAAGTGTGACACTTCACACTTCAGGAGTATGACATGTCATACTCCGGGATATTTGGTACAAGGTACCAAGGTCATTCAAAACCAACCATTGGTTAAATGACATTGCATTTCTATAGGTAACTGATAGTTTGTATTAACCACAAACTTAACCTACCTATAAATATACTCAGTTTACAATCTACCTTATTTAGGTCACTTCGCTCTCTTTAATTAAAGAGGGGACCTGTGAACTGCCGTTCACTGAGAGTTTGTATACTCTCGGAAGATAACTTCCTCTAGCGCAAGGTGCTGTGTGACCCCGTCACACTTGGTAGCACTTGTAGTCAATCCACGCCATCGCGTGGG